TAATTTTCTCAGTATAATTATAATATTACATCCAATAAGAATTGTCCAAAAATAATAAGTAATCTTTCATTTTTAATCATAAGTCTTCAATTTATTTTATTTTGAAATATAAAATCGCTTTTATTAAAAATAAGCTTAAATGATACTCCAATAACAATTCAAAAACTTGTGACCTAACAACTCCATGTTCAAATGCAATGAAAGTAAAGAAATTTCCATAATATTTCAATCAAATTTTTAATAGAAGGAAAGACGTTTTTTTTTCTTTAAAAAAGTCATAATCGCCTTTGAATTGTAGACCCCTCCAAACGACCCTATACTTGCTTGTCTAGACACGAACTTTTTTGTTTTATTTATATTTTTCCGTCTCAGTGTGAGTTAGAATTTGATTATAAATTTTAATTTTTTTTATATCACGAAGCAATAATCTCAATTTTATATCACCATAAAAAATATTTAAATTTTTTTATAAAAAATAAATAAACGCTAATCGCTGAAAAGAAATGATAATAAGACCGGAAGTGTCTCAGTAGAATAATACTATTTGGTTTAGTCTACAAGTCAACTCTAATAATTATCTAGTGCAGCAGCAGACCACTGGAAGTTAATGTTCCTATGGGTAAATAAAATTATGTTACCCAATGAAAACCTAACACGTGTCATGATATATTAGCGTATTATACAGAGCGTGTTCCTTCTAGCGTACGATTAGAAACGTATTTCATAAGGCAACAAAAATATCGCTCTCTCTAAAACCCGAATAGTTCATAGTGATAGTGTGTTTGTTAGGGTTTTTGACATCACTGAGAAATTTTTTGTGAAAAAATTGAAATCGCTGCGCTGCAATGGACGTTGAAATCGAAGAAATTTCTGCTCATGATGGTTCTGTGAAGGTTAAAGACAACAAGGTATTTTGAATTCCTCATTTTTTGTGTTTTTTGATTGATGATTGATCACGATTGCTTTATGATAGGATTTTGGTTCGATTAATCGTTGTGTATAATTGATCGCAAACTTTAGTAAGAGTTGCATTTTTAGTGTGGTTTCTAAAAATGTTGTTGTTTAGTATTAAAGTATGATCATCGAAGAATTGTGATTGTGAATCATGTTGAATTGAAGAAATGAATTTTGGAAATTGTTGTCTATAAGAATGGGGTAAGGTTTGCGAACATTCTATCCTCGTTAGATTATACTCCTGGCATGGGCAGGGGATTAGGGTTATGTGATTTTGAAATTGTGCATGCAGTAATTGATGATTTATGCTTCAGAATGTTTACGATTTGAATATCCGAAGGTCATTTTCATTTGCTTTACATATATGGTTTGTTTTAACTTACAGGAGGTTATGACTGAGGATAATCCAGATACTGTAGCTGGTTCCACACCTGGATCTACCGACTCTGGCATTAAGAACAGTTCCAATTTAGACATTACATTTCATGAGGATGAGAATGACGGAGATGATGGGTTGGATGATTGTGATGATATGTCAAACTATGATGACGACGACGATGACTATATGTATTATGATGATGAGGAAGATGAATGTGATTACTTGAGTATGCAAGCACAATTTGATAATGTTGATTTGCCCGCTGGTGTTGAGGCAACAGTTTCTTGGTTAAATGAACCTGCTCCTAGTTCAAAAGTGTCTTCCCAAGCTAGCTCTTCAAGTCATCTAGCAGGTGCTCAGACATTGAATTCTACACTTTCTGAGCATGCAAGTAGTAGCTTTGCTCAGGTCCCTGCTTCAAGCAGTTCTCTGGTGTCTGGAGGATCAAATTCCTGTGGGAAGGAAGAGGTAACTGAAGATGAACTCATGAAAAAGTATCGAAGTTTTAAGCATTTTGATGTGGTAGAGGACTTCTCGGATCATCATTACAGTAACTTGGGCGTCAAGGGACAACAGGTAACTTGTAAGGGAATTTCTTGTGCTTTGCAGGTCATTTTCTGCTAATTTGGTTGTTTGTTAAATCATGAATGTGACCTGTGCCGTTACTTTTTTAACAGCCACCTAAGGCCTGGAGCAAGAAAGTTCAGGATGAGTGGAAAATATTGGAAAATGATTTACCTGGTGAGTCAGATGCTGTTAGTTAGTGACTTCATTTTTTTTATCTGTTGGTTTCGTATTTCAAATATTGGTTTATGTGACAATTTTTTCTTGCTGTAGAAGTCTTGTGAAAGTGGTATTTTTCTCGGTCTAGCCTTCTTAACCTTCTTGTGCTGGCTATAATGGTAAATGCAGCAATTGACTCATGTGATATGTGTGATTCATGAAAAGATGTGTTGTTTCTGATGACATCCACTACAATTTATATTTTGACGCATTGTTTTGTCACAAGTAAATAGCGATTCTTGCTCTCCATCTGGTTTCCCCCACCTCAACTCCCTTATCCGCTGCTAAATTTTGGACTCCATCCTGTTAGGGACATGTTGTACATTTTATCTGGAATAATAGGGAATTTTGTGTGAATTTGATTCTATGGAATGTCCCCTCATTGGTAGACTGCTGTAAATCTATCTGACCCGTTTGAGGATTTATGTTGAACTCACTCTCTCTCTCTCCTTTAGATACAATATATGTAAGGGTCTACGAAGCAAGGATGGATCTCCTTAGGGCTGTCATCATTGGGCCACAAGGCACTCCATACCATGATGGTCTCTTTGTCTTTGATGTCCTGTTCCCTCAAAATTACCCTGATGTTCCACCGGTATGTATTGGAGTCTTGTTTTTTTTCTTTATTTTGTAGCATGGAATTATAAATATATTTATTTACATATTTTCCCTTTTCATTAGATGGTTTACTACTATTCTGGTGGTTTGAGACTGAATCCCAACTTGTATGATTGTGGAAAAGTCTGTCTCAGTCTTCTGAACACTTGGACTGGTAAAGGTAACGAGAGGTGGATGCCCAATTCATCGACCATGCTGCAAGTCTTGGTTTCCATACAAGCTCTAATTTTGAATTCAAAGCCTTTCTTTAATGAGCCTGGATATGAAGCTTCATATGCTGGACCTGAGGGACAGAGGAGATCTAACTCTTACAATGAAGATGTTTTTGTTCTATCTTTGAAAACAATGACATATACGTTGAGGAGGCCACCAAAGGTATGATGTTGGATCATTTTCTTAACTTCTACTTCATTCAATAATTCTGTTGAAAAGTATCATCCAATTGTACTCCAACTGTAGTCCAAGAATGTCTTTTCTGTTGAATTTCTGGATCTCCTGAGATTTCGCCGATGTCTTAATGACTAATTTAGTTGTTTATTGTAACTTAATGCCGTCCTTTTCATTCTTTTTCTTAATTGGTGTCACATTTAATCTGTCTGCAATACTGGTAACACATTTTTATCTGGGAAAAAGCGATCTAAAACCTACTTCATCCTTAATATCAGTTTGCATCTTATGTTGTTTTGTTGTCTGTAATTTTTCTGCTTGCATATAGTTAGTAAAGTAATATAGGAAGAAGGTAAGGGTAGTTCTCAGTGTTAGGTACATACGGGTGAAAAGAAGTTGGTAAAATTAGCTCTGTGGCTGCGTCTTAGTAAGTGATGTTTCAATTTGTTATTGTAAGTTGGATTTTTTCTGCTTAGGTTCCTCAACATTGGGAACCAAGTGCAGACAGTATCTGGTTTCGGAGACAAGGTTGGATGTGGTGGCATAATTTCTTTCGACTACTTAAATAGCTATATTCCAATGGAAAAGCTATAAAGTTGAAAACAAAACTTATTCTACTCTTGTTCATGTTTATCCAAGCAAACATATTTTAAAACAAATGGATTAGCAAAACATTTTAACTATATAGTTGAGCAATTTCTTCAACTAGTTTTGCAGTTGGAGTGATAATGGATAATGGTGCAAATAACTAATCGAACTCTTTTTAAGTATGCATCTTTATCTTGAGGCTACTTGTGAAGTTGTATTCTTTATTACGATAGATTGATACTTTTTAACTAATTGTTTATTTTTCATGCAGCATTTTGAAGACCTTGTCAAAGGTCATTTCCGTTGCCATGCTGTAGACATTCTCTCTGCATGCAAGGCATATATAGAAGGAGCTCCAGTTGGTTCAGTGGTCAACGGAATAGTCCAGGATCTTAGTGCAACTGCAGAGAAGAGCTCAGTAACATTCAGAGAATCAGTATCCAGAATGAAGAATGGTCTTATATCCCTTTTCACTAAGAATGGTGCCAATGATTGTGACCGGTTTCGCGCCTAAGCCTACAAGGATTCATCAACTAAATTTCATATGAAAATCACATGTTGCGCTTGCAGAATGGGTCCATTTTCGCCTGCTTGATTCCCCCTCCTCCATTCACAATTTCGTGTACATAATAGCTCTAATTTTTTTAATCTAAGATAAAACCGTATGTCTTTGTGCTGCTGTAGTAGGAAGTTGGCTTATTGTAAGTGGAAATTAAATCGCACAAGGGATCTAGAGCTTATTCTGGACATATACTTTTGTAGAGAATTGATCATAATATCTTAATATTCCAGAGAACATAACTGTGTCTATTTCTTTCCAATGGTGCTCTTGGGTTTATTCAAATAATTTTACATCATACATTTTTGTGATTTGCACTCAGTGTGCCTTCGCTGTAATTTCTTTCCAATAGCGAGAGGCCATGGATGTTTACCCTGGATCAACGCAACAGCAAGTCTGCATCTTTCATCAAAAAGAGCGATATTTGTTGTAAAACTTTATCTATAGCTACGAAGTATAATATTTTAAAACTAGTTGTATAAAGTAAACACATATTACATATTGAAAAAATATGCTCAATAGAAAACTGAATTATTAGAAATAAGATTACAATTAAACTTGTTCGTAACAATTTGGCAATGTATATTTCTGTTGATAGTACTATGTCAATCTCGATAACATTATATTTTGGGGCCTAATTTAATTCAAAATCTCCTTCCTCGAACCCCATGTATAGCGAAAGTTTAGTTTAGGACACAAGACTGCCCGAAATAGAGAGAAGAAAGATGCAACTGTAAATGAAAAATCGTTTAAATCCATTCCTCATGTTTTCATTTAAATGTTTGAGAAGCAGAGTGAAAAAACTACAAACAAATCATCGTACAATATCTGAGTAATACAGCAGCGTGTGATGCTGATAAATAACATCTAGGAATGGAGTGGAACAGCTACAATCTTGTCGTAGGCTCGATGGAATTTATACACAACACATAACAATTCGCGATACATACTCATAACTAGTTGGAAATGTACATTGCCAATTTGGCTTCACCACCAAAATAACTCAACTTCTGATGTTCACAGGACTGCATAAGGCTGAGATTAAAGGAAAAAATTAACAGTTACAGAGTCGACAGATTAATCGTTTCTATCAAATTTACAATCAGAAATATTGATGAAGTTACCAGCATGAAGAAAAGGAGGAGTAAACTTATGGATCGTCATGGGAGCATTCTGTTAGTTCAGAACTCAGCATGTGATGCAGGAGGAAATCTACTCGCTGGCTCCGAGTCTTAGTGCTGTGTAATGAAAGAAGTTGCCAGTCAGATAAATGGTTTACATAAAGTTTTTCCCATATTTCAACATTAGTCAATCAAACTTACCCAACATTACGTCTCCGCTCACTTCTTGATTCCTGAATTACACAAAGAATTCAGGTTCACATGAGTACATATTATTAACAAAGACGACACTGTTAACTGTTAAGTAACAGAAAAAAGAGATGTAGATCTCCAAGATTAGTACCAATTGGTTCGTTTAATGAGGACTTGGTTCAAGACTAAAGGATCAAACAGAGGGTAGGCTAGTAGAAAAACGTAAAGTCTAGAACTGTTTTGAGGATTATAGAGTGATGAAAAAGGTTAGAATACTATTATGTATGTTCTGATAAGTGCTGTTTTTTGTAAATGCAGATTTGAATGCCGAGGGATTTAAAAATAGGAGGAAGTGAGGGAAGGTAAATAAACAGGGTTTACAGTAGGGAAAAAGAAACAAATTATACTCGGAGTTTAGGTTCGTGACATTTGTTGGAGTCATTTCCATGTGCTACAGCAGTTAGCAGTGATATTTTTGTCAATGATTTGAATAAAATGTTCTGTTTATTCTTTTTTGAAGAGTGACCAAGGCTGGTAGATCATGAAGGAATTAGTCTCTTTCTGAACTTCACTGGCTATAAATTTCACGAGTGTAAATAATAAATAGCATTTCTATGATGAAACGAAGAACTCCAACAACTCGCTAGAGTCTGCCAAGATGTTCCTGTCTGCAAATGAATACGCTAGTAATAATAGACTCGCTGCATGAGAACCAGCTGATGCAGGCTCATAAACTAACCTTGTCATCACCATCCGCACAGTTTGCTGCAGCCTCTAGATCCATTTCTGCTTGGAAAGCTTCCAAGACAAATGCTACAATCTGAAAAGAGTCCAAGCAAAGGTTAAGTAATCGTTTAGCAATTATCATTTATTGATGAAGTATTTTTTTGTCGTTTCAGCACTGGTCTTTGCTAAAGGACTATACTGAGTATAAACACATAGGATAGAAGAAAGTGTTCGAACACAAGAAAAGTAATGATAAGATCAATTAAAAAGATGCAGTATTACAACTTCTGTAATTTTAAGTTTCTAAAATATACCCCTAAATGGATTTCATTTTTTTAAAAAAACTATTTGTCACTTCCTTAGACGAGATAGGGTATTTCTGGGCCACTTCTTTTAAAACGAGGGGTAGATCAACTCTAAATTGCTTAGTTGAGATGTCTGACATGGCTTGGTAATGTGTAAACATATTTAATTGATATCTTCTCAGATGTAACATACTGTAAAGGAACTAAATCCCTTCCACTTCTAGAGCCCAGGTTTTGCAAAAAGTAGACATGGATACTTACCAAATTCAACAGCCACAAAACTGAGATAAGATAGAAGCTGACGAAGTAGACATAAGTCCAGGCAGTCCCCGTTAGTTCCTTGTAGCTCTGAAATGTTTAGGCAATTATTATCAGCTATTCAGACCACCCATGTTAGGAAAGAAGGTAGGTTAAAACTGTCAAAATGGCATTAATCATCTCGATACTCTTTACATTAGCACAATAAAGCAGAACGCATGAAGGATGCAACAACTTGTAACAACTAAGATCTTACTACATGTTACTCAAAGTTATTAATAAGTTCTCAACATTCATTGAATCCTCACATAATTTATACTTGTAAAGAAAGTCCAGTTTGAGCACGAACAGGTTAAACGTACAGGTTAACCCTCAAAAAAGCACCAAGAGAAACCAAACAAATAACTTACAGAATACAAAAAATAAAAGAAACAATATTTGTGATATTGATAGAACATTGATATTTAAACCACATACAGAAGGATGATCAATAGTATTTGCATGGCACAAACCACTCAAACATCTAGCCAAGTGTCTTTGACTTCCATCTGTTTGATGTGCACACATTAAGTAGACAAAAAGAAATACTCTCCTCTCTCAAAATCGTTAATTACCTCATACATAATAATTACAATCTCAAAGCTGAGGAAATATTCTTGGATAACAGAAATATCTTCAGTATATGTTCTTGTGCATATAAACATTATGAAAGAATCTGAGCGTTATCCTAATTGTTGAATAGTCTTAGATTAGCGTACAACTTTTGAAAACCATTACATAGTTGTCCAGGATATTGTATATCTACAATATCTCCCCGCATACGTAACCTGATTATAGAGTTCATGAACCAGACTTTAAAGTGTCTATAAAGGTCTACCAAGAATAGGGTCAGATACATGCTAAAATACTTGATTATTTGTTATTGCTATTTGTTCTCTTCTTAGTTGTTTCCAGCATGACTTATTCACTACTATAGTTGCTATAAGTACTTGATTTTTGATAGGCTTTACTTGAGCCAAGGGTCTATCAAACCAATCTCTAACCTTCAATAAATATGGGTAAGGCTGCATGCACACCACCCTCCCCAGACCCCACTTGTGGGATTTCACTGTTGTTATTGTCCAGTACTCCAGAACCATAGAAAATCCTAATCCAAATGATGTTCGCACTGTAAACCTCTTACAAATATGTTTATTGTCTCTAGGATTCTCATTTTATAAACCACAATTTCATCTCAATTGTCTAGGTGAATCTTTCCTCAAACGAATTCATTTTACACTCTGTAAAGACATGTATCACAGAACTGAGGAAACACAACAAAATTAGAAAAGGACAGCCACTTAAGGATTAGGCTAGGCTCCAGTCACCAAAGTCATCATCCTTGGAACCTATTTTGAAGGTGTCCTATTGGTTCCTTTAAAGGTAAGAAAAATACATGACTGATCTATGAAGAATATGCATCATAAAAGATGACCATACATATAAAAGATAGTTCTTCAAAGCGGTAATTGAGAAAATCCTAAAATCACGATACCTGCATCCACACTTGCCAATTTCCCATCACCAATATGTTGAAAACTGTGACCATGCCACTTGGATAGTCATTGAAGTTAAAAAGCAAATAGCTTGGATTGTCAAGATAACAAAGTTGATCGACTTCCAAGTGGGAACACTACAAGAATATGCAACAATAAAATATGGATCTTCATATTAAATGATAAAATTGTTTCTCCCAAGAAGATTTTTATGAAATGACAAAAAGTTGTCCCCTTGTCCTTTATTTTTCTGTAGAATGCTCTAATTTCACCATTGACAAAAGGATACTCATTATCAGAAAGCTCAGTTTGGGCTAAATTGGGGTTTCCAGCGTTGACAATCCCACCAAAGATCTGCACAAGTTAAAAAAAGTAACTAAGGGTGAAAGGAAGAAAAAGGATAGGAAAAGAGTAGACAGACAATACTTCAACATCGATAAAGAAAATGTGAGTAAAAGCTATTTCAGTTTCTTGTATGATGCCATATTGACTAAGACCTACAGGCAAAGGCAATCTAACAGAGAGAAAAATAAATCTAATGACAACGAGAACTTCACAATAATTAAAAACAGAGTTCAGACGAGAGGAATAAAATCTTAATGGAGTTATCAGCATAGTAATAGGCTAATAGCAACCACAAAGGTCAAATATACCTGTAAACCAAGAGAGCAATAAAAGCACAAGATGCAGAATATGGTCCCCAAGTACGGCATCAGACTTGGTATGAGGGTCAAAAATGTGGCAACAAAAGCACGATATCGCTCTACGTGCAGCAAGAGTCTCATTAATCGTAACATTCTTGCGATAAGAAGATAACGAATCCTGTAAGCACCATAGACACGAAGCATTTAGTCTATCCATAAGAAAGGAGTGCTAAATTGTAAAACATCAGAAAGAGAAGACACTGAGAAAACTCTAAGCACCCAATAATGGGTTTCTCATTCTGTTACAGACGCATTCTAATTAAGAAACCATACTCCCAATAAGGGGTTCCTCATTCTCTTACAGATGCATTCTAAGTGAATATTCTATGTGATTTCTTTTTCAAGTACAAAAAATCTAGATTTGTATGAATTTACAAACATATTCACTTGATATTTTGACCACTTATCATCCTTTTGGAGACCATAAAAAGCAAATAATGTATTATGGTCAATCCAGGTTCATCATCATTATAAGCAAAGGTCACACAAGCCACAAAAGGATAATTAAGAATTTTTCTAATCATTCTCTAGCTATAATATCTAAATCTTATTAACGCCTCACTTCAAGAATAGCATCCAGAAGTCAGAACACAGCACATAGAAAAAAAAAGAATCATAGATCCATCTTTTTGAGGAAGAAAAACAGAAATCAAATCATGGAGCCAAGCATCTTTTTCTTGCCTCCAAAAAGTCTTTTACTTGTACATGGTAATATATTCAGCAAAATAATTGAAGTACTCAAGAATTGCCAGAAACAACAGCAGACAATTTGGCAGAATTGCAAGAGCAAAATAATTTAGAGGCCTTTACCATTCTCCATTGGACAAAAAGGTCAGATCATCAGGGGCTACAAAAGTAGCTGTTTCTCCAATAACTGTGAAAATCAAATTCATCCGTTAAACCAGTTAAATCCAGTAAGTGCAGAAAAATAGCTATCTCACTATGTGCAGAAAAGTGAGAAGTGTCAATTAATGCAAAGAACTTGACAAGCAGTAGCACTGTTGACTAGGTTCACATTATTATTAGAAAAAAAGATCACTCTTAAACACCAAGAGAAAATATAGGCAGTAGTGCACCATATTTTAGACAAAAGACAAACAACCACCTCTAATAAATGAAGTGAAATCATGGAATTGGACGTATCTTCAGAGGATTCCTTATTTCTTGACCTCTATCATTACTGTTAATATCTCTGAAGATATGGCCTTTGGGCCTAACTCAACCGCAAAAACGAACTCATGCAGCGAGGATTACCCAAGACCAAAACCACAACTGTTCCCTCAACCAATGTGGGACTTAACACTCCCAAATGCTCAGGACTCAACTGGAGGGTGGGTTAAGGGCTTAGTTGCGCGGACTCTTCACTTTTGATGCCGCACCCGTCTCGGATTCTTCAAAAATACACTACTTTTGGAGAATCTGACACACACCCTTTGGCATTTTTGAAGAGTCCGAGCACCATAGGTTAAGGGGTCCAAAATTGTGTAACACAACAATAGGGACCAATAGGTCTGGCTCTGATACCATGAGAAGAAAATGGACCCTGGGCGCAACTCAGCCCTCAAAAACTAACCCGTGAATTGAGGATTGTCCAGGACCATAATCACAGTCCATTCCCTAAACCAACATGGGACTTAAAAAAACTACAAGCGTTATCAAACAAAGGTGAGGTAATATAGCGTATTTCAAATGACACTTTCAGATACAGCCTTACATATGTTATAAATTGAATATAAAGAGAGAGATCTGAAATACAATTATGAGCCAAACAATTTGAAATGTAAATCCAAGTGCCAACACAGTACTTGATATAAAATTTAATCAAGAGAATTCAGGCTTCAATACTTTTGAAACCTACCAATGACCCAAGTGACGATAAAATCAAATTGATTTTGACCATCCCTCCAATAGTTCTCAAAACCGTAAGTGTACACTTTTAGTGCCATCTCGATAACATACAGCCAGCCTGTGCAACAAAATAGAAAATGGTAAAATCCCAAATATGCTCAACCCAAAGAGTATGCACAACACCACAATTTTAAGATGACAGTTGTGAAGATCAATGCTTGATGCCAAAAGAGGCACCACCATAATGATAGGATAAGAAACTTAAATTTCCATATAAACTTAAATTTCATTACACATAAATTGACTGTAGAAGACAACTGTCAAGTCTAAGGATGAGAACACAAAGTATCTAATTATTTAATATCAATACCCTTACCATTTCCCCTAGTGTCTTTATGCCTTGAAGAGAAATTTCATTTTTTTCCCAAGCTCTAAGCAGGACGAGAACGGCTTAACTTTTGCTAGTTATCAGTAGGATTATTTGATGGTCAAAAGAGCGTAAAACTGCTTTTGGCTACATGAATCTAAAGAGGTTCAGAAGCAACAAGAGACTGCATAACAAGTGAATATTGTTGCTAATCTAGCTTGGTATTTTCAGTTGGATTAAACATTTTTCAGGCATCTTAAGTGAGACGATAAAAAAAAAGGAACATCCATAAGCCTTTTTTTTAATAAAATAATGGTAATAGTTATATAAATATCAACAGGTATACTACACAAAATTGTATGGCCCCTCAAAAGTAAGGCTTAATTACAACAAGGGATCCAATCTACTTTGCTACTTACAGACTATCTAAAACACCAAAAATATCTTCAGTTTGTATTAACTTTTCCCGTTTACACCAAAAAAAAAGGCTTAAGAATGAACTTCTGGATGTTGCATTGCTTGTCCTTAAAACATCTATGATTCCTTTCTCCCCAAACAAACCACCAAATATGCTGGGATGATCTTCCACTTAACCCTCCTTTTCTTGTTATATCATTTTAACACCTTCTTAATGCTTCCTGCCTCCGGGCATCACCTACTTAATTTTCCTTAGGTTGATAAAATAAATTCCATAACTGATCTGCCCATTTACAATGTACAAAAAAAGGCTAATTGTCTCTGCCTATTCACCACATAGGTAACATTTGGAGCATCGTTGAATTCCTCTCGTAGTGAACATCCATGAGCCGTAATGTGGGTTCTTTGGAGAGAGCTATGAGACCATTTGAAGGGGCTGAACAAAAATCTCAGTATTGTAATGGGAACTTGAACCTAGGACCGTACAGGTTTTTCCTGTACCTATCAACTAGTTGGTGCTTCAAGTGTAAACACTCAGGGGAGGACGTGGATCATCTCTTACTACATTGATAGGTAACGTCACATCTGTGGTGAGAACTAAATGGATGGCTCGTCAGTTCAAGAATCACTTGAGTATTGTGAAGGATGCCTTATTCAGTGGGGTCTTTAGAGGACAGAAGAGCAGACATGGGATTTTGCTCTATAGGCACTTATGTAAATCGTATGGAGGGAAAGGAATAGGAAAATTTTTGAACGGAAAGAAGATGAGTTTCTACATCTGAGGAATAGCCTCCTACTTTAATGTCTTTTTGACGAAACCATGAGGTTACTATTTGTATAGAATATTGCGTGTGTCTAGTAGAGAACCATATCTTTCTGTAACTTCTCTATATTTTGTGTACCTATTGTATACAAAAGGTGGTGCACGGTTAAGAACTGATTTAACAATATTAAAGTCAAATCTCAAGAACTTAAATAAGAAATCCAATTCAACCGAGATAATTGCTAGGACAAAGGAAAATTTTTAATATTTGACATATCAAATAAAAATGCAAAATACAACCAACAAAATTCAGAAGCCATATATTTATATTTACTCTATCTTAAACTAATTAACCCTCTAGTAGGTATGGTTGATATATTTAATGCAAACGGCAACCAGAGCTGATACCACTAACATAAAACCATCTGGATAACTTTCTACCTATTGGGGCAAACCTAGAACCAAAATCAGATGAATAAAAAAGCAGATATCAAATTTCTAGAAATATTGGTGCCAAGCCCTGAAATTCGTCATGGGACTTACCAAATGTGAACTCCACCTTCTGCCAAAAGGTTTGACCTGAGTTGTTCTGAATATCGAGCTAGAATTCACCAACAACAGAACAAGTCAGTGAGCTTCATACTGAACTTAGAAAAGATGCAAGCAAAAACAATGTGAAAAGTGGGGGATATTTCTTCAGTTGTTAGTCCTCATCTCAGGTATTTTATTATATGTAAAAGCACAAAATTCACCATCCAAACAAAAGATTTCCTCATTAACATCCATGAAAGTAAGAAATAAGTGAAACATCAAGCATATGAGGATCTTGATTTATTGATTTTTGGGTGAGAATGTTGATTCTTTCCTCAAAACTCAGTTGGTCAGTAAGATGTGCCAGTCCTTTCAAATATAAATGATTTGGAAGAGGAGGTTTCTCTGAGGTACTTAGGCAGAAAATTGTTTGGTGGCACTACGTTATTCTAATCAGACATAGAAGAACAACCCACCTCCTTGCTGTTGCATCCACACAATACTGAAAGCACCAGACAGAAAACAAAGTAGAAAGGATAAAAGTTCCTTGGTTGTTCAGGTTCAATGTTCAGCTCATGTTTGGGTGGAGTCAGGAGGTACTCATCCTTATAACAAAGGGAAGGATGCCAGTCATGCCACACTAAGCTTGATTCAAGATCACAGTTTTAACCATTGGGTAGTTGCTAGTTATGACTTGGTCATGGGATCAGTGGTTGGTAATTTAATCATAACGTATATTCTCCATTTCATTTTACTTCATAGACATGATGTTTCAATAATTAACAGATCAGATACCAAAAGGAGTTAGTATCACTTCATAAGTTCAAATTAGACAACCACTAACAGACCTATATACTGGGGCTACCTTAAGCATAGAAATATGATCCATTTGCATCCAAAATCCAACTAGAAATTGTACAGAGTTTGATTCATACCGTGGTTTCAATAATAACAGCAACAAGATTGACCAGGAGAACGGACACTATTATGTACTCAAATGTATCGCCACGGACGAAGTCTCTCAACTTCTCAGATGCTGCTGAATGATAGAAATTCGGACATGCTTCAAAGATTGGCAGCTGCAATAGAAAACAGAACATGAAGGATTCTCTGGTATAACCTTCAAACTGTAATTGAAAGGGTAACTGGACTCACTGAATCTTCCTTCTGAAATCTTAGTCCGATTGCAGTGCACAGATCGGCAAATTCTTCCAAATTTATCTGCATTTGACACAGAGAGAATTCATGAGAAGAGTGAAAACAAAAATGAAGATGGAATTTTTAGTGACTGAGAAGATTTCATTCATGAAAAGGATCAGATTCCTATAATTCAGACAATCCATCTGGTTCCACGAAAAATATGAGAAACTTGAAGTTTTTAGACTCGAGAGATCTAACAAACTTGAAATGGTAAGGTACAAGATAGATGTGCTTATTGTTTAGAATCAAGCTCTGGTGCTAAGTCATTCAACTTCATCACCAATTTCAAGAAGACACCAAGTATTGATAGGATTCGTAAGTACCTTAAAGTCACCAGTATCATCCAGCTCATTGAATATTGACTCAAAATCATCTCCTGATATTTTTGGCAATGTTCTGAAGACATTTAATGATAATGTATCAGTGCCTACTGTGGAACCTTGATAGATATACGTGAAAGAAAAAGTGCAGGACATATTTATGATGCCAAGGAGAAGATAACATAAGTCAATACCAACAAAGCAGTATCTCAAATAGGAAGAGACAAGAAATATAATTATATAACACAAGTCAATACCAACAGAGAAATCATAGATGTTTTGAGAATAGGAACGACAACATGGAGAAAGTCAAGCTTAAGTGTATTTTGTTGTTCTGTTTTTGGTGTACAAATGTCTATTCCAAGAAGACTGAGTCAATCATAGAAGTATTAGGGTCCATATAGATTTTGGTTCAGCTTTGGGGTAGAATTTACTTCCATTCTACTTATTTGTAAATATAGTTTTTTCAGTACTACCTAAGTAGACTTGAATACAAATGTAACCAGTTTCAAAGAAAAAAATAAAAAACTTTACAGCCAGCATGTTGATCTGGATTTTGTAAAACAGCTTTATCCAGTTCAAGTTGTGACTGCTAGGTCAATTTCAGTTTCAAGGAAGGCAGTAAGATCCACACCACAAAAAGAAGACAATTAGTGAAAACAACTGGAGCATAGCTGCAGAACCTCTGTGTCAGAAATGCATTGCAAGGTCATGTGGAGAATGAACTTTACCTGTATTTGTTAAGTTCCTCAAACAGAAGGATACATTGCTTCTTGTCGAGGACCCCAGTGTTCTGCCAATGACAAAACAATACAACTTTAAAAGGAATGTCAACCAATACGTTTAAGGACACACAAAAACCATTTTGAATCTTATATTTAAGATCAAATTTGGTGGATCTTTTGACATTATATCTCTAGATTACTAGGTAGGGGGAAGAAGTTCATAAATCAAAATACTTAATTAAATTCTTGAATACAACAGAAATCTATGAAAGTATTTAATCCTTTTCCATTAGTTCTTTCTGCCTTCACCCTCTGTCGCTCTCTATCTCTCTCTCTACCTATGCATACTTACATACAGTTATTCATGTTAAAACGGGCCGGACCAGCACTTAAAATGGATCACAGGCTAGGCTGGGCCAGTTACTGCTTTAAATGGTCCATGAGACAATGGCCATTGACAAACAAATCCAGTACTTAAAATGGTCTGCATGGGTCCAATTATATATAGATAGGTAGAGCCCGTCAAAATTGGGTCCCCAACACATTTACATGTCCAACTTCCACTTTGTTGTGTTAAATATATTTTTCTGTAAAAATTATTAATAGTAAATTGTAATTTAAAATATTAGTGCGGATACCAAAATTTGAAGAAAAGGAAAACCACAAATTTCATTAAATATATAGGAGTTTAAACTACAATCACATGAAAGTTGAAACATAAAATTTGAATGTCATAACACGGAATCTACTAAAACTTGAAAACAATAACTCTTTCTCACCTGGCCAGGCTAACCTGTATATTGGTTACTGGTACCAGGCTAGTTCACTAAAAATAGGACAGACAGATACTTAAACTCTATTGTCTTCATTCATGAAAGAGAAGCAAGGAGGAAAGTATCAAACTCTATTATGTCTTTTAAACACCTATGCCAGTTGATCTACCTGTTTCTGCATATGAGTGTACCAGAAGGTGTTTGTCCAATAGAATCATGTGGAACCGTACCAACTACCTTTTTCTAGTTCTCAAAATAATCTATCTTCTAATACTGAAAAAGAAAATTCACATCACATTAATAGAATTATTACTTTATCAAGAAAACATAATCCCTCTTCGTTTTGGTGCTAGATTACATTTGCTCTAAATTTGATCTGTGGAGCAGAAAGGCAGGCAACTACATATGCTATACTGAATGCTTACATGATATTTGAGAGTGAGAAGATTTTTATTGACTGCAATTACTGCCACTCTTTGGGAAAAGGAAGAACAAGGATAGAAGCTTCTCTTTCATGGGTAAAAGGAAGGAAGAGAAGGATATTTAATACATGTAAACCACAGAAACTTAATAGGAGAGCAAGTTATGAAGTATCGACTCACGCTGTCATCAATCAAGCTAAATGCTTTCTTCAAAGTCCTTAGCTTCCGTCGATCTTTTTCAGCTACTTGTTTTACAAGCTACACCAAAAGAGAAAAAAATAAATCTATAAATATATACGTGCAAAGTGAAGAATCTACAGGAAAAGTACGAGCTATGGAAACAATAACATGATGGCAATGATTTCCAATAACTCGAAGCAAAACAATGGAAGACCTTACCTCACTTTTGAAGCTATCATATACAACAGCAAGAACTAAGTTGGTAACAAAGTAAACGCCCAATAGCACGTATAGAACAAAAAACAAGCAATACCACCGTGATTCCCTGAAAGGAAAAATACGAACTACAGGTTTCAAGACGAAAATAAATGCAAACACTAAGTAAGCAAGCTTGACGACGAGAGCAAAATGTATTCAGATGGTGCTCTTGTTATGAAGGTGAGAGACACCTATCTTTAATTGTAGCCAAAAACATAACCAAAATTCAGAGATTTTAATGGAAAAAACCAATCCTGTTTTTTTACACACAAAGCTTCTACTGCTAGGTAAACTTCAATGATATTATAGCAATTATTTTAAAGGGATCTAAAGACAATTTTCCAAGGCACTCACTTGTATGCAGGAATCCAGACATCTGGGTTGTTTGATGTGGTGAATAAAACAAACATTTGGTACAGCGTAGTGCCATATGAAGTAAACATTGTTTTCCCCTGCTGTGTGTCTTCAAAGAAGACATATGCTAACCAGCTCGAGAATAGAAGAAATAACGCAGTTAAAGCCTGCAGAGGATGAAAAAGAACATAGACAAAAAGAGAAGGGTTTGGGTTAGCAATAGTTGGAGAATGGACGTACCATGATAATATTCACGTGCGGAATTTTTAGATTATCATATCATCTAGCATGTTGTGTCTGAAGCTATGCTATGAAAATAACCATTAACCCTCAAAAACAAGGATAACTAACCACAACATTAAGGTAGGTCCGAAACATTCCTGCAAGGATGAAGAAGCTATCTCGTAATTCCCTATTGTCAAAAGTATGAAATTAAGATCAGATTAGCAACAACAGCTCAGAAACCAAGTCAATCAAGAAGAATAAAGTGCTGGATGTGGACCCAACTTGCCATCTTTCTGAACCTTAAAAAGGGAGAACAAGAGAAGGAACATCTAGTGGATTACACTGCTTAGGCATCATCATTTATTTGCAGTTAATGGAGGCTTTATCTGAATCATTCAGATCTCAAGCTATTAAGTGTGTGCATGTGTGTTTTTCCTTGGAACAACAACTTATTAGCTCTTCATAAGTCTGAAACATTCAAATCTTGTATAGTATTAAAATCATTAAATGTTCACTTAAAGATTCCTAGAAATGTTTACATTTTATCAGTACTGTATTTATTATCACAGCTAACTACCGCAGCAGCAGCCTGCCACTACCCCCTACCAATCACCACCATTACCAGACACCACCACACAACTACCAGTGACTACCTCCACAACCTTCCATCATCAGACTCCACCGTACAACAACCACCTCCACCACTATACTCCATTGCAGAGCCATTATCATCATCAACCACCACCACTTGCCTCCACTGTACGATCACCAACAAATGCAGCAGCATATGTAGGGGTTAGGAAAATTCATGTTCTTACCTAACTGGTGTTCTATAGTTTACATCAATTCAAAGCGGGTGGTCTTTCCTATACAATCGATGTCCTTGACATCATATGCACTATTAACATGTCACTGATAAACAGTGGAAATGACTATGAATATGCATCAGCATGAATGAGTCCATATAAAGCATCATAATTTTAAAAAAATTATAACTAAAACATGATTTGAATTAGAGGGCATTCTCATTCTCAGAAGAATAGTTGTGATTACTATAACTTATGCAGACAATCGAATTTTTACAAGTCAGGTGCATGTCCAAGACATACTTTACACATTTGAAGCTCATCCAACAAGTCGAAGGTCGCAGCATGATCAGAGAGAGAGAGGGGACAGAGTGATTAAATTTAAAATCATATCTAGACACTTCCATTCATTTCAAAAGTTGATAAAAGGCAGAAATTTCACAGAACCACAAAAGATCAGGCCCACCCTTCCTTGGTGAGGGTGAGTAGGGTGCAAAAGCATTATGGACAATGAAAGAATATAAGCATGAAAATATAATTGATTAACAGCAGTAGAAGAAAATGCTAAGACTTAATATTTGGGGAAACAAGAGCCAAAAAACTCACTTCTTTACATTCCTTCACATATAATGCGTATAAAAATCATATTCCCAGTAAGGATTATATGTTCACATTTTCAAGTAAGAGAAAAAGACAACTAGAAAAGAAAATTGTGACACCACTTGGAGGGAGAAGTCTGGTTAAGAAAGTTAAAACATAAACATCAATAATGAGGTAGTGACTAGAATTGGAAAATCAATGAGCAGTGATTCTACTATGACGCACCTAATATTCAAAATAAAGAACACCACACGGAGATAGGATGCAATACGGAATGGAAGATAATAGAAGTCTGCTAGAAAGAGAATGTAGACCACAATATCCGCAACCAAGATTAACAGCAAAACGACCTGAAATATCAAGACAAACAAGAACGACATTGTTATTAACTAAATTTTACTATCACTTCCTATGAAAGTTTTAAGCAACCTAGGATTCACCAGTTCCAACGAACCTTCCCAAAAAAAAATTCCTCAAAATCATTATGAAAAATCTAGTTATGCAGGCTAGTTTGAACAGATAACAGTTTAAGCATAAGCACAAGAATGGCTTCTACGCAAACTTAGTGGGTTCATTAGAGAGAGAACTTCTTGTTAGAACTTACCTTCTGTGTACGAAGGAATTCAACTAAAGTACAAGGAGGAAACACGGAAAGTGCTTCTGTTAATTAAAATATACATAAGACATTATATTATATAACAAAATATTTTAATCGCCTATGCTCTACATTTTCTTTCCTCCCAACATGAGAGAAAAAAAGAATCCAAAATGAGAACTTTCTTCCGCTGTCCAATTTCATTCCCCTTTGATTTTGTCAAACCAAAGGAAATGGATAACTCCACCATTTTCTCTTCCTTTCCAATTTCTTTTTAGTCATAAAACAAGTCGATTACTATAAGTAATGGCTCTCCACATATGTGCTTTCCAAAGCAAATACTAAAGCTATAGGAAATGCTTAAGAAGATGAGTTGGATGAGGCATTAGAGATTGTGCTGCTCTTAAAAATCCTCATCTTTAATATGTCCTTGCTCTGTCACCATATGCAAGAATACCACAATAGAACGTGCCCAGAGGCAATGCATGAGAAGTCATGCTATGGTGGAATATGACCATCATCAATCAGACACCTAAGAATCTAAATATGTTAACAATGATCCATAGTTTGTCAAGTAAAATACCCAAACCAATTTGGTGCAACATCTTATTGCTATTTTTTGGTAGATCCCCAGCACTACAAAGAGCCAACAGCAATATGCACTTGGGTGATTACTTAGATGCTTCTTATTCTCTTTCCAATAAGGAGAGAAGGCCCCATCTTTTCCACCGTAATAATTTTGTTTTCTTTTTCAAATATTAATATACTCCACAAACTAACCTCCAAGAATATTTAGTGCTAAAAGAGTTACTTTTACCACTATTTGAGATTGATCTAGAATATGAGGAAAATGGGGAAGGAGTGAGGAGGAAGAGACCAACTGCAGGCTTAATTTGATGTCTTTTTTCATGATTAATTGGTATTCTTTATTTCTGTATCTAAAGAAGGGTGCTAAGTCACTCTCGATTTTGCTTTGAGGACTTGTTTTGTCAGACACCCACTGCTAACTGTTGTGAGAATTTTTTGAAAAAATGAGTTCCCAATCCCTGGTATGCATGATTCATCTTACCATGTTTTGTTTTCTTCAACTTCAGAATCTGACATATCACAACCAGATATTTCACCTTCTACTTTTAGGGAGAAGAGTGAGAAAAACAGCAATAAAAAAGCACTAAAGTTAGAGTACGACTATCTTCGCAAAAATTTTTATCTTTTACAAGGAAGAACGGAAATGTGTATTTATTTTTATAAAAAAAAATAATTACCATTCATAATGAGAGAACACAAAAGGACTGGTACCAAAATTTACCTTCAGTCTGTTGAGAAGACTTCTCCAGTAGAGATGGAAGCCTTCATATGATATTGGAAATAAAATGTGTATAACAAGAAGAAGAAGAGTAACACCCTGCAGAAGACAGTTCAAAAAAAACTGTTAGTAAGCCCAAGGTAGCCTACCCAGCTAAGTAGAAACTCTGGGGGTAATGTTGTTGTGTTTCACATACGACTACAGAAGTTCCTCTTCTGAAGCTACCTCGCTAACTACATACATGTGACAGTAATGTTTATGCTTCCAGATTTGGCCCCTATTATTCAATATTGGAAAAAAGAATTTTCCTCTTTTAACACTACCTAGTAAAGCCAGTAAAGAATAAGAACAAGAAACCCTCATGAGCAAAGTAAGCACTGTCTTAATTCTCATGTAAAATAATGCAGCTATGGTTTTAAGAATGATCAAGAAGTCCTCGTTTTCCTCATTCAAGCTTCCTACACAACAACAGCAACTACGTTTCAATTGAAAACAAGTTGAGGTCGGCTATACAAAATCACACCACTGTCCATGTCACACCATTATGCCCATCTCACTATAACTATAATAACAACAATAATGACAATACTACAAATCAATAGAAATTAACAATAATAAGCTTATTTGGTATAAAGATCTCAACTGGCATAAATTCTTTTGACAAAGACTACAAACCTCACATCAACCCTGGACCTCAAGTAAACATCCTGACATGACTAAAATGAACCCCAACTAATTGATATTGCATGAATAGATTCTCATCCCACTGTGCCAAACTTTTCGCTGGGTCTGTAGGGACTTCAAGAGATTTTTGGTCTTTCAAGACAATTTCCTTTCATATAATTCTAGGTTTACCACATTTCCTTCAAACACCTTCACTACCAGATAGTTACATAGATATAGACAGATGCAGTTGGAGGGAGACGCAGGACATAACCAAGACATTAAAAGCAACTTCTTTTGATTTATCTTCTTTTGTTTTTGAGACAAGTAACAGTTCTATTCAATAAAAACTTAGTCACCCCAGAAAAAAGTGCTAAGTTGGATACTTTACAAGCACCAAAAAGGTGCTTAAACCCTTTCCCAGAACTCTATACAATTATACATTGCCAATTTAATTTACTAACTCTCCTACTTCCCCCACATATTCTGTTTACACCAAAAAAAGAACAAGCTAAGACAATTCATCCTAATTTTCTTAATAGTAATAGTGTCTTCAAAATGTCTACCATTCCTTTCTTTCGGTTTATCTTCTATGTAAGATTCTTGCACCTTCTTGCTAAATGTGATCATTTTTAATCTTGTCAAACTCATGACTGTACATTGCTTCTTGCACCTTCTGCTAAATGAGATCATTTTTAATCGCGTCTAACTCTGTATGAACGTACATTAGCAACCGCATATCTGTGACACTCATCTTGTAGATATGATGGACTTTAGAGTCTCATTACTCCCATATAACATTGTTGGTCTATGTAGGAGCTTGTCTTTTACTTCGATAGGCATCCTACTAGAAAAACAGGTAGCACTTCTCTATTTCAACCATTCTATTTGATTTAATGTGTAACATATTCAACCATCATACATTTCATGGAATATCGAGCCTAGGTTCCCGAACTGTTTGCACTTAATCACTGCAATCCTGACTAATCTCATCTCAGCTTCACTCTTATATGTTGCTAAACTTGCAGTGCACATATTCAGTCTTACTTTTATTCTAAAACTTTTACTCTGTAAAGTATATCTCCATAGTTCAAGCTTTTGGTTTGACGCCGCCCTCGCTAGTTTTGTCAATTGTCTGCAATTAGTATACATCAACCTTATTGAATATAGTGTTACTTTATCCATAACTAGGGTATATAACTGTGTTCAAAGTCACGGTTATAGAAAACTCTTCTTGTATCACCTAATATTGTTCTCATACATGGTGGCTCTTTCATGCATATTGTTTATGTCATTTATATATTTAATATATATATAAATTCCCTTTTTCTTCTATCATCCACAAAAAACTTTTCTTTCACTAGGTCAATGAACACCATCTATAAATTTTTCTTCCTCACGCAATAAACTTCCATCAATCTTTAGCAGCAAATATATGACCTTTATTGTAGATCTACCAGGCATAAATCCAAAATGGTTCTTTATCACTTCTGTAGTGTCCCTAGTTCTACATTCTTATCACATTTTTCCTAAAATCTTATTGTTTGTTCATAATTTCAATGTCCTGATAGTTCACACAACTTTAAATATCTCTTATGTCCTATATATTGGAATCAGGATACTCCTTCTCCACTTGTTGGATATTGGTTATTCTACCACTTCTTAGTATAACATTGAATAGCTTGACCAGCCAAACTACTTCAACCTCCCCAAGACACTTCCAAACCTCTATAAGATACCTTCTATACCAGACAGCTTTTCTAATCCTCATATTTGTCATCGCATCTTTTACTTCTGACAATGTTATATTATAAGTGTTGCAAAAAATTACATCCTGCAAAGTTGTACTGATCTATAGAGTTCTCCTCATGATTTGAGTTGAACAATTGATCAAAATAGCTTCTCCCCCTTTTTCGATCTCATTATTTTAACAAAAAATATATTTTCTGCCAACATTTGCTGAGAAGTCGAGAACAGTCTTTAGTACAATTTGTCTTGTTTCCTGTAGAAACTAAATTTAAATTACCATGCAAAAGCACATGCATCAGTTTTTTATATACTAGGAGGCAACAATCTCCTAAGGCTCTTCAGGATAATCAAACTTGCAATATCTAAAACAATAAAATTCACCGTTAATTAGGCCAAATAGGAATCGTAGATGGTTCTTCTTAAAAGTTTAGCTTCTTCACATACTTCAATTAAAACCTCATATATTTAACAAACAAACCAACCACGCACAGCTTACCTCATATATAAGGGACTCAGCACCAGTCAAAAATGGCAGCTGTCCTAGATAGTAGTAGTCTCTATTATTGCATGACTCAGCTAAATGCCTGGAGCACCACAATGGTTTCTGAGCAAAAGGAACAGGAAATAAGTGATACAATAATTACCAGTTCTAAATTCAACGAACAAGTAAGAAGTATGGAGTCAATGTAACATGCAGGAAAATAACAAAGGACTGAAACTGGAATAGACAGCAAGGTAACTGTACAAACCTCAAAGAAGTTTATAAGTACTAGTGCAAGATAATTAAGTGACCAGAGGAAGTCAAAACGAGTAAACATGAAGTACAATTGTGCTGCCTTTTCAAAGCTCGTTCCCTCAAGAATTTCCTCAGGTAGACCAACGCCATCTTCAGCCTGCATGTGTAACTTCCAGGATTAATATCTCACCAAACAATTACTAAAAGGAAAACATTGAAATTTCAGCATTTATCATCCAAAAAACTAATCCCTATTTCACGTTTCAAACCATTTTTCTCAAGACTTCTCTACTAAATAACTAAATATTGTAATCTATTATGGATTAGATCATTTTATAACCGATAATCCTGTAGGTTAAATCCAGGCCTATTATATTGATACAAGAAAGTAATTGTTTGAAGGCAAACATAATAGGACATTCAGCTATAGTCCTTCAGTATAAAGGTTATATCACACTGTCTGCTTTAACTTCTTTCTCTGAAAAAAAAGAGAAGAGATTTTGTATACATAATAAAAAAGAAGAGTTATTTCCTTGAGAAAGTCATTTCTCAATAAAATTTGCCACAATGTAGTATGTTGGACATGGAATTCTTGACCAAACAAAAAAGACCTCCGCTTTCACCAGAATAGAGACAAATAAAAAAAGTCCAGTCTGAAAACATTATGCATGAACTTTTGCGAGAAGTCACTAAGTTCCTCAATGTCTTCTCTCTTTTTCTTGTTGTCTGCCCACTATATTCACCACACAATATATAGAAAAATGAACAAGCCCAGATTTTTCAGTTCTCTTTGAATCTTTAATATTTCCAGCAGCTAAATTAATTACCTTGGAAGTTGCAGACACCTGTTAGTGGTGCCTCGTCTCAGCTCAGATCTTCTAAAGTTCCCTTCTTATTTTTGGAATGGTGTACCAATTTCATTAGACACTACCCTCATTTTACCACTCTACGCATCTGATTTCAAAATTCAAATCTTTCAACAGCCCAAACACTACTACAGTACTCATACATTACATTACTACTACTCCACTATCTTTCCACAATTTTGCATAAGTATTACCTATTAAAATCTCTACTTTATTAAAGCTTTGACAAAAAAAAGGATAAATTTCACTGCGTATTCAAGAATTAAGACAAACAGATATGTCTTAGGGAGGTCAACAGTGAAAGTCAATAACCAGCCAGCGATGAAGTGTGGCTAAAACAGAACAAAGCCACAAAAGTAAGGAGACAAAACTCTTTTTCTTCTCTACTGTGCCTCATCTCGCCTCAGATCATCCAAAATTCCCTTCTTTTTTCATAATAGTATCATTATTTTCTTGAATACAACTACTAGACCCCATTATCAAAATCCAATCTTTCAACCACCCAACTACTAAAATACCAAAATCACCATTCCACTATTTCTCAAAACAACTTCCAAACTACCTATCAAGATCTCTACTTCATGAGAAACATTGACAAAGAAAGGGTCAGTAATTTATTTCACTACACAACTAAGTCAAGGAAAGAAAGACAACTAAACAAACCAGTCTTAGAGTGAAACTCAATATAACAGGTTGATTTGAAGTTAAAACCTTTGTTTCAACATACAATTTTGAAATCTTTAATAGGAATCTTGATAGCTCAGTTAGTTGACAGACTCCATATACTCCCATTTCCCCTCCCCTGCCCCAAATTTTGTATGAAAAATGAACAGTTGAGAAAAGGGTCATACAAGATCAACTAAAGCAGCAGCTTTTTGATAAGCAGATCCATGAGCAATAGCATCTCTGGGATCAAACATGGAACCAACCCTCCTCCGATTCCGAATCCGTCCCCAACTGTTGCTGCTACTCTCTCCGGGCAACAGAGATTCTTCCATAGTTGAAACTGAAGCAGAAATAACAAGAAGAAGAAGAGTTAATGGAGTAGACAAAAGGGTCGTTGATGTTCAGTTAAGATACATCTTTTATATACTTCCCAGAGAATTACACCACTATTTGATTGTATCTCATTTTTTTTTCAAACTCAAATATTTATATTCCAACTCGATTATTTTTAACAAAAATTTTCTTTATTATAAAAATTTTATATTTAAAATTAAATTCGATAATTAAAAAAGAAACATATCCGTAAATAATCAAATTAATTAGTATTAGTATTGTGGATGTTGTTCTAGTCACTATCAAGAAGAGAGACCCGCATACGTGGGAAAAGGAGACAAAAATTGACAAAAATGATACCTTATATTTGGATAGATTCAAAGTAGTAAAGTTTTTTAAAGCATAGTTTGAACAATTTTATCCATTTCAAAATTTAACATGTTTTGTCCCTTAATTTTGATGAAAAGAGTGGAACTTTTTCTTTAAAAAATGAGTAATATGAAAGTTTTACCAAATTCAAAAAATTTACGAACGCAAAAATAACAAATTTAACTAATAGAGTTAATTTCATTATGTATCATAGATAAATAAAATATCGTGATTTTTAATTAAGAAAAATTTTCTCATTTAGAGTTAAAGTTAACTAGTAGAAATTTTTTAAAAATATGAGGAAAAAACAATAGTATTAACACTTTAGGTAAATTTAAAGGACTAAAATTGATACTTTTGGAACTATTTTGAACTTTTTCCAAACATAAAAGACTATCTTTGTCAAAAAATTTTTTGGAAGGGGTGACACAATCATGAAAATTGTGGCAATAAGAAAATGTTAAGGCACAATTTGGAGAAAAAAATAAAATTAGAGTTGGTGTAAATTTAAATTAATCAAATTATAATATAAACAAATATCAAAAGAGATCACAGTTATACTATGTTGAGATAAAGATACAATTTTTTACTACTTACTTACTAACTATTGATCTTATTAGAATAAAGGTAATTTATAATGAGTTAAAAAAGAAATGTAATTTTATAAATTCAAATTTAAACGTATCATGTGACTTTTATCCAATTGACTCTTTTTTTTTATAGTGTTCATTATCAGATCTTCAACATGTGATTTTTTTTTATATTTTTGTTTAAATATTGATTGAAAAAACAAATAATATAAATATCTATTAAAAAAAAAAGACGTGCATCAGTAATTCAATATGAAATAAGTCAGGAATGATGATGGGATCTAAGATCACCAATCATATTCATTTTTAAGTGAAATTAAATTTTTTACTAAGAGATTTAAAATAAAATAAAAATTAAAAAATATTGACATATTAAAATAAATTTAATTATATATAAATAATAATAATTTTTAGATTGATTTTTCTAAGCGCAACCCACTAGTCCACCAACTCATACACAGTTTTGACCCATTATTAATTTTTATATTATAATATGCATTGCCGACAGATCTATATTACTGTTAATAATTTATACTGTCAATTTTTAAAGTTTATTTCTATGCATTTTTTGACGAAACTCGTTGCAATTACTTATTATAAATAAATATTTTTAAAAAAAAATTATCATTATTTTTCCTTTTGATTCAGCTTTTTTTATTTATTTTTTTTTATTTTTGCAAAATGGTTACTTAGATTTGTAGGAAATGGAGAAAGAGAATATTTTTCAAAATGAAATATTTGTGACAACAAAATTGAGTCGATAAAACAATCCAAAACTTCTCTTTTAATATGTAAATAGTCATATTTAAGTTTTTTCATGCGATTACAAAATATTAAATGTATGATTCAAATTTCTTTGACTTTTTCATGTATTTATTCATATATGTATACTTCGATTAATCAAATATTATAAATATCTATCAACTTTATGTTAGAACCGGAAATAAACAAGTGTAAACGCGGAAGCTAGCAATGCAAACCTCGAAAAATCACGAGTAAGAAGACAACGAGAAATATATCAAAAGACACAAAGATTTAACGTGGTTTGGTCAATCGACCTACGTCCACAAAGGATATGAGCAATCCACTATAAATATGAGAGTACAAAAATACAGAGAGAAACAACTCAACCAATTCACTCAGAATACATGGGAGGTTCACACAAGTGATAACGTATCAAGCTTGTGACCCACAATTTCTGCCCCTAACCAAAACTCTCAAAGCCCTTAAGACTACATTGTGAATGCTGATTAAGTTAGAAAGAACATTCCTCTGTTTATAGAATCATAAACCTTTTCCTACAAGAAAAAGATTAGTCAATTCAAAACTTTTTCCTAAAAGGAAAACCTATTTATGGTAAGAAATTTAGGGCAAATAAAACTCAACACTTTATGCGATAACATATATGAAATAACTCTGTCCGCCAAATAAACATTTCTTATTCCAAATAAGTATGTACTACTTTTTAAAGTTTGAAAAGGATATCGACTATCCTAACAATGCATAAAAAATAAAAGTCAAACAAACAAACTTATTGAATCTGTTTAAAAATACAAACGACACAAGAGGCCCCCCCTAACGTGAATACACCTGTGAAGAAAATGAAATTATAACGACTTTTTTTTAAAAAAGTTTATCGTTCGATGTTTGAAGCCTATATTAAAATCTCAACTACACCATGTATTATATGAACCGTTCAGGGTCCTAATAGAATATAAAATGTAAATTCAAAACCTCTAATTAATGACGAAACAAACTTATTATTAATACAGCAAAGTTGGTGAAATCATAAAGACTTACTAGTACGATTGGTACAAGAGTTTAATGAGATTTTTGGCATTTGGCCAACTGGAGGGCCACAGGCCACAAAACATGCGCAAGTCAAATCAATTCATCCACAAACCATTTACCAAAATTATGCATGTATAAAGTTATCATGATTTAAGTGATATTCCTACTTAATTATCCAAATATTTATTTATTAATTCTTCGGATAATCTGAAATAATTACACATTATCTCACTAATTAATAATTACATACCAGATAACAAGTCAGGTACACCTAGATACAAGCATTAATACACTCTGAAATACAAATACATGGGGAGAGAGGAGACCAAGACAAATGTAGAGAGGCAAGGGAGAGTGCCAGTATATTCCATATCCGTTATGATATTGTGTATTTAAAACAAATTAACCTAGACAAATGGCTGCGGTTTCTATCTAGAAAAAGGACAAAGGACTCTAATAATTCAAAGACATTTGATAAAATCATTTAATACCAGAAGGAATTGCTACTATACTTGAACGTGGCTCCCCAGTAGAAACTACAAAAACCGTACAAAAATGAACTGTGGGGGTTCTACAATAATATAAGATAATGCTCCTCATCTGTGCACTAGTATGACAATAAAACATATGAATACAACAACAATTACAAAAGATGAATGAAAACTCGTCAACCAAACTAATGGTAATCCAAGTGCACAGTATAATTCACAATACAAGCTCCTACAATATTTAACCTCCTAGCCTCTTCAAACTCTGTACTGTATCTACTACTTCACATTAATGTTCATCCCTGCAGAAGCAAAACAACATCTTTCAACAAAAACAAGAGGCTAATATAAACAAAGAAGCAAATAACAACTCAGCACGTGTCTTTAGAGTCTCGCGTTTGGTCAAAGGTTATGGGTTTTGATATACTAATATGATTTGGATTGTCATGTATAGGGGAAATAGCTAGTTAAGAAAATCAAAGTAGGGGAGCTTAGTGAGCTTAAATTGAAAAAGAGATTTACTACAACTACCCAGTCACAACAGTAAAAGTGAAATTCCACAAGTAGGGTCGAAGGAAAGTTTAAGTGTACGCAGACCTACACCCCTACCTCATGGAGCTAGAGAGGTTGTTTTTGAAGGGCCCTTGGTTCAAGTGTAGTAATTATGGAGAGTCCCACAAGTGTGAAAGAAGAACAAAAAATCTGAAAAAAAATTCTCACCATCTTTCTTATTCACCTCTGACTCTTCCTCCTCTCTTTCTTTCTACTTACTCTTATTCTCCCAATCTTTCCCTTATCTTCGGCGTTGTTACAAATTATCAAGTCGGCATTCTGGTGAGTGAGGTGAGATGGTTAATAAATTTCCCATTTGATTCTTGTTCGTTCGAGCACATTACACTGGACAATACTTAACTTATGAGCTAGCTTTGGGGTTGAGTTAGGTACAAGTTCTAGTTTTATCAACATGGAGTCAGAACCACTGCTATCCCTAATACTGAGTTATCCAATGTAGGCCCACCCCCCTCAATACTGTCATCAGTGCTCCAAGTTTCCAGTTCTAACAGAGGAGGGATGTTGAAAATCCCACATTGGTTCACGCTAAAGCTTCATCAGTCTCCTTATATGGCTACATTATGAACTATACCTTTTGCAGTTCAGATATTAGCATAAATCCAACTAATAGTATTGATTCTCTCTCAATGACACTAGTTCAGCCCACTATTACTGTAAGATTCTAGAATAAACAAGCAAAGAGTTGGTTGGTCGGTGTACTATTTACTCGAATATACTTCCCTTGTGCTTTTCCAATAAAATTTTGGGCTTCTGACTACTACACTCCAGAGATAAGAAATTAGCCAAGGTGTGCGAAAGTTGGTCCGGACACTACAGTCATCAAAAAATAAAAGAGAAGTGGGAACACTCCAGAGATATCTTGAATGTAGCAAATTATTCTGGATATTTTAGTAACCATATCAGTTCTCAACAAAATTGATCGTGAACAACGAGTAAAAGGTTTGCAATAATATATTTCGAAATTTAACATGCAGCTAAATGTTATCCTATTATCTCTCTACTTAAGAGTCATCTTCATAATTAGTGCTAGCAAACAGATTTACACATAATCAAGCTTACCAAAAATCAGATTAAACCCTATGATGAAAGGAGAAATCTTAGTAGCTCAGTTGGTTGGCTATCTAAACTTCCACCTTATTAATGAGGGTTAGATTCCCCACATTGTAAACCCCTCCCCCATTTCCCCTTTCACTACCCTCAAATTTGAAAGAATAAAAAATAAAAAATCCATATGAATTATGAAGGATAGTTAAGAAGGCTCATACGAAAGTGAAAATCTAATGTTATCTCTTTAAAGTAC